ATTACATAATTAAACTATTAATCAAAATTTTAAATTCCAAAACTTGAGGGCAAGTTTTGAAACATTTCAAAACATTAGGGTTTAACTATTTAAATTTCAAAAACAAAACTTTTAAGTTCAAATTTAAACTATAAAACCTAAAAGGAGTAATTTGAAATTATTCAAACTTACTATGGATCAAATAACAAATAATATAAATCAAATAATTAATTTAGTGATTATCTATATTTGACCTAATCTAATTTTAGTCATTAGATAATTACCAAATAACTTTAAATAATCCATATTTATCAAATAAACAACTAATATTCAAAAGATTTGAAATTATCTATTGTTTTGGCAAGGATAATCATTTAATTAAGATAAAATTCGGATTTTAACTTCAAAAAACGATTTAGGCATCAAATCCAAGTCAAAATAGCAACAAAATCTCGAAATATCCTCTGCTTGACGCACAAACTCGCCGAGTCAGCTCTGAACTCGCCGAGTAGGGGCCAACTCGCCGAGTCCAGATACTGACTCGCCGAGTTGAGTCGGGCAGAGACAAAAAATTCGGTTTTCAGCAAGCAAAACAGTTAAGCATCACATACAATTGAAACCAATCAAGGCTCTGATACCACTGATGGGTTTTATGCATAAGAAACAATCCTATGTGCTCATACAAACCCTAATGCTTGGATCTAGGTTTCTCTATTGTACATGCTTTGAATCCAAGACTTACAAACCCTAGATCTATCAAATAAGAACTGAAATAAGGGTTTAGTAATTACCTTTGATTGTTATATAGCAATAACAATCAATCCTTGCTTTGATTAGCTTCAGAAAGCTTAGTGCCTCAAGTGTTGCACCTCTAATGGAGTCACAAACACCACTAAGCAACTTGGATGAAGAAGGAGGAGAGATGAGGCAGCCAAAACGTCCAGAAACCCTAATCTAAGAGTTTTTCCCGTTTTTGGGCATAAAGGGCTCTTTATATAGGTGTAGGCTATTAGGGTTTACAACTAGGAAACCCTAATCTGACTGCTTAGGCCCTAAGCAGCCCATGGATCCCTTTCTTTAGAGTCATGGACGAAATCTTATGGGCTTCCCCATAAATATCGTCCACTCCACTCTATGGAGTCCATTAGCCCACTCTTGCAATTATCTTATGATTACAATTCCAGTCCCTTAAGTTTAATTAATCTCTTTTAGTCACAAAATTAATTCATAATTAATTCTCGACTAATATTAATTAAACAATATGATTTCTCCTTTAATATATTATTCTTATAATATATTAATAAATCATAATTCTCCTTAATTCATCCTACATATTGCTATGGTGAAGGCAACCCAAAAGGACCATGCTCATAATCGGGTCAAGTACATACCAAAATAGTTATGGACTTAGACACTAATCCAACACCAAGTACATAACTTTTCAATCAAACTATAATAGGTATAGTTTGGGGAATTCAATACATAGTTTCTTTTACCAATTCAGATTACATTCATGGGTAACCATAGAAACTAGGACATATTTAGTTTATGACATACAAGAGGACAACATATAATACTTATTTAAGTATAATTATTATCTTATACATTATACATACAGAGTTCAATACAGTAGATCACTACAGAACCACACGTAAACTAGTTAATACAGGATTGTGAGACCACTCTTCATTTGTACCCTTCTGGGTACTGGTAAAATCCTCAACGTATAGTGTAACCAGAGTCTCCTAGAGGGAGAGCGTGCGATTTGTGAATAGATCTATTCGAGACTGACAATCCCACGCCTAAACTACTAGCTACAGTTAGGCAGGCATGCCTGGGGTGACATATATTATACCGTACGATGCCTGAAGAACGTCGTTGAGGTCATCAGTCATATCAAGCATGGTTATACAAACTCATAATAGTATAAACTAACCTTTTGTTTATGGGATTTCATTCTTCAATAGTTTTATTTTCATTAATAGAACTACTACATACTACAACTGGAGGATTCCAGGAATTTCATTTCATGGTTTTATTTTAAGTAATAAAACTACTATACATACTGGTGTTAGCCAGGGTTTTCATGCTATACATTACTTACATTACTCATGGTACCCAGGGATTTCATACAAGAACTTTTATACAAAACAATACAGCTGGTGGTACCAGGCATACATATAAGTACTTTCAGACACAAGAACAGAATTTCAATAACAAACTTACAATTGGTCTTAGGGTTTAAGACTACTTTTCATTACTTAAGAAAATATTGGATTTTCTTTGGAAACATACAAACATTTTCACGGATTCATCAACAGGTTTTCATTACAAAAAACATGCTTATGAACTCACCAGCTTTATGCCGATACTCTTTCAAAACTGCTTGTATTGTCAGGGTATCAGTAGACAGGTACCACCTGGAGTTTTGAGAAGACGGAGCAGTTAGAGTCACGTCTTTACATTTTGCTTATACTTTTGATGTATGCAAACAAGACTTAAACAGATGTAAACCTTTTTCATATATGTATTCAATGTAATGGTTGTGTTACTATGATTGCTATGATACAATTGTTGTGATACTACACATGACGTCATCCACCCCCGAACGTTTCCGTCGTTCCGGTTTGGGGGTGTGACAGAATGGACCAAGATCACATTTTTTTGAGTTAGAGCACTCAAAAACCTCCGAAAGGACATATCAAATGGTCTAGAGTAGTCCATACTCATAAAGACCAAAGCTTTGGGACAAAAAGTACATAAAACTCAAAACTAGCTAGATCAAACACATGATTCATCAAGATAGAAACTTTATAGCTCTAGTTGCTTGGAAAGTTGATGAAGGTTCTGGATGTAGAAGCTTTACTCCAGCAATAACTTGATCACCAAGTTCCTTCTTCTTCGAGGGCCAAAACATAGCAAGTTATAACCCAACTAGATCCACATGAGAAAGCCACTAAGATTCAAACTTTATATTTTCTATAGCTAGATCAATATGATTAGGGCTTGGATCCACAAGCTCCAGCCAAGCAATGCTTCCTCAAGAAACTCCTTCTTCCATAATAAGCACCAAAAACCCACTAAATCACCAAAAAGCTCAAGAATCACTCAAATGGAGGCTAGGGTTTCGTTCTTAGGGTTAGAGAGGATGGATGCTGAAGAATGGAAGAGGTTTGGGTCGATAATCATGCTTATAAAAGGGCCAAACCCTAAAAAACGTGTCTTTGAAACAACTCAACGAACGCCCAACATTCCCATCTTGGCCCACGTCATTTTTCCGTTCCCAACTGGTACGCCCCGCGTACCCGGTTCGGCCCAAAACACTCCTAACTTCAAATGGTCATAACTTCTTCGTTATAACTCCGTTTTTGAAGTTCTTTATATCCGCAGAAAGGTAACGAGAAGCCATACACTTCTATCAACTTTATTTTTCCTGAAACCCACTCGAACTCAGATCCAAAATTCAAGAAAGGCCCGAACCAATGCCTTTACCAATACCCTTGGGCTCTAAGGCACAAACCGAGCTCTTTTATCACAAAATCTACCTTACCCGCATCCAAAAGCGTCTAAACCTTTCTTCTTTAAAGTCTCAAACTTTCCATACCCAAATTATGGCCCTCAAGCCTTAAACCTTAAAACGATCTGAAACAGGATGTTACGTTATGTTTTATATATTTTTTTCTTTGTTAATTATAGTATCCTATAATTTAATTAAGTAACTTCAATAAACGTTATATCTTATAGCATCAAACACATAACAACAACATTAAGGCGTTAACAATTTAGTATTTATCTATTAAGACCTTAAAACTTCATTTAGCTCTTTCCAATCATATTAAGACGTTAAATCTATAACAACTCTTAATTACGCATTTTCCATACATATTAAACGCTTTCAAAGCATGTTATTATCTAATTAAGTCAACACAATGCATATCATAACTAATAGCATTAAACAAATAATAACGTCATTAAGGCCTTAATAACTAAGTCACAAGAAAAATAACTTTTAGACTTGTCTAATTAAACCCTTAAAAATTAAGTAGTTATCAATTAAGTTTGTATCAATTAATTCCTTAAGAAACCATTTAGAACTTTCGAAGCATATTAACACATCAAATAAGTAGCAACTCTTCATTAAGCCTTTTCTAAACATATTAAGAACTTTCAAAGCATATTTACATGAAATCTGAAGCATCTCTTGATTAAGAACTTAACAGTAAGCATCAATAGGAAAATCGATAGCTTTTAAGGAAAATTAGAACCTTAAGGTAGTTGCAGGAGGAGATGGTACTAGGTGGTAGACGAGAGTGGTGGTTGAAAATAAACCAGAGTTGGCAGGTGGTGGTGGTGTTTGATGGAGGTAGTGTTGCTTTTCTTAATTGATGGTGGTCAAGGTTGGTCGCTGGTAGCATTAGAAACCACAAAGTTTTCTAGTGAACCGGTTGGGTTTTGTAAAAAAGCTCTAGCGGTGAGCAACAATAGTAATGTGGAATGCTCTGGGTGTGATTGTCATCGTTACTGGGGCGCAATGGACTTTGATTGTCGGTTTTTTTTATAGCTCAATAAGAATTGATCGATCGGGGGAGAACGGGCTCTAAACACTACAACGTTAACCCCCTATGGTGACGAAAATTTTGGACCCTATCCCGACGACATGTTGTCGGCATAGGTATCCAGACGACATGTCGTCGGCACTCTATCGTCGGCATAGATCAATACTGTCGTTGGTATAGATGTCGTCGGTATAGCCTACCCTATTACGACGACATGTTGTCGTAGAGCTTTTGTCAAGCATATTTTCGGGAAAAAAAATAAAGTTTTATTAATTACCTATGGCTATGGCGACGATAAATGGTAGAGAAAGCTATGGCGACGACAAGTTGTCGGGATGGTTGACGCTATTATGATGACATGTCGTCGCTATAGGTTTTTCACATTTGTCTATTAAACACCTATAGCGATGACATGTCGTCGGGATAGCCACTGGTTGTTTTTTTAGTTTTTGCAGATTCTGTACATTACCACTCCTGTATTTTTAACAATTCCAACAACTTTGCAGCATATATCAATTGAAATACAATAACTATCTACCATTGTTCAAATTCAAAACATTAAATTCAAGTTTAATATTACAATAAGTAGTTAGTTAACATTGTTCAAAATACTACAAAAATATCAACCATCATCATCATCATAATCTTCTTCTTCTTCCCCTTCTTCTTCTTCTTATTCTTCTTCTTCTTCCCCTTCTTCTTCCATCATTTCGGCAAATTGTTGAGAGGTACTTCCTTTTGTGTTAGAGTTGAATAGAAAGTTAGGAAATGGTGGTGGTTGGATTTTCGAAATAGATGCCGCCAATGATGCATTATATTGTTGCAAGTATTATTGCATTTGTTGTGCATCAAATTGGGATTGAGATTGGGGTTGTGATTTGGAAGTGGAAGGCCGTTCATTTCGAATTAAACCGAAGTTGGCGGTTGGTCTCCTACCCACCTCGCGAGCATGGCAGTGTCTCGTCCCAAGGGCACGTTCTAAACATTCTAACTCGTCTACTTCTCCGCCTGCCCTAACCTCGTTTTTCATTTTCTCATATTCCTCTTGAATTTTCTCCTAAAATAAAGAAAACAATAAACATACGTTAATTAAAACAAAGAACTAAAGTTAAGCATTAAAATAATAATAATATTACTTAAACAAAAACTATAATTAATAATAATAATATATTTAAACAATGCATTCATTTCGTTTATCACTTACCCAATCTTCTTGTACTCGATTTGTACACCAACCCGAACCTTCTTTGTAGCGCATTTGTCTCCAACCCTCCATATGTTGCGGCTTGAGTCCCATTTTATCCTATAATAAGTGAAAAACAATAAACATATTTATACAAATGTTAATAACAATTTTAAATAATACTAATATATATTATTACCTCTAAATGACGTCGTTGAGCATAGAATCTACATCCGTGAGCACTTGTGTGCAGAAGTTTCGACCTAGTAACTTTATTTTTGATCGACGTGTTTCAGTATTCATCGGTCAAAAACAACAAATCAATCATTTTGTTCCAAGCTTCGTCGGTCCAATCAGTCGGTGGACATCTTCTTGCCCTTTCCACATTCTGATATCCACCAACTCTATCAAAACGTTTTTTCATCTGATATTTGCGCTCTCGATAAGCTCTTTGCATATCTGCTTGGATACCCACTCGAACGGGTTCACACAAGTCCGTGCCCCGATACCTATTAAGATCAAAATAAGTCTGCAAAAGGAAAAACATACTTGATTAGTAAAAAAAATATTTAATAAGTGTAAAATTAAATACATATAAAATATATTGTATACTTACTCCTAGCTCGGGATATATAAATCATCTTTGTACTTGCTAGGAACACAACGCCAAGTATGATAATGCAACTGTACCATTAATCCCACCAGATTTGAGATCAATCTGACAAACATTTGCCCGTTGTCCCCAATGAATCGATACGTCCGCCCGGAGGTATCAATGGTCACAACCAAAGGCTTACATTTGTTATGTTCACACTCATCGTACAAATTTAAGTTTCTACCTTTGCCACGTACATTCACATTCTTCGCTTGTGCTAGATTTACATATAGAATTGGAAATTTAGGAATTTAAAACTTTAATATATCTAATACTTAAGAATTTCATGTAACTTACAAGATTGGCAACCCGATGGTACACCGCGTGCGACTCTGTGTGGAGGTCTATCCCCACCGTCTCCTCCATGTCCCCTCGCAACTTCTGCCATCTGTTTAACAAATATTATAAACATTCAAAATATATAATAAAGCTACTTATAAATAAGCAATATTTGAAAATTTAACAAATATTATAAGCAATCAGGATATATAATAACTATAACATACCATCAATCAGATTCATCACTAGAACAATATACATGTACAACATCATCATCACTGTCATAGGTTTCATTATTTATTTCTTCATCTGAAGAGTACGCATCACCATCGTCATTCTCCTCGTTAATGAAATCGTCATCGTTTATAGTAGGAACAACATTCCTCCTAGCAACCACACTTGATTCACCTACTTCACCTAAAGTCATCTGCATAGGCAAGGTGCCTATGTTGACAACCAGTGTAAAATCAGTTGATTGAATGTTGTTCACGACATCTATCTCATTCACAACCAAGGTAAAATCTGTTGCAGGATTCCGATTGTCAAATTTGGTGGTGTTCCTCCGGTGGTGGCTGGAAAAAAGCCAAGATACTTACTGCTATATCTGTGACGAAGAGAGGCTGGAAATAAGGTGGAGTCGTCGGTCGGGAAGGTTGAAAGTGGTGGAATATGGACGGTGGTGAAACACAACCGGTGACCGGCTACAAACACCAAAAAAACCCCAAATTCGGGGTCAAAACCTTTACCACACAACAATAAAGCAAGAATTAGGAGTAGAAAAGAGCTTACTTGGTGCTAATTTCTAGTTCTGGTAGCGTGATTGCGTTTTTCGTCGGAGAGGAATTGAGGCTGCGTCGTTGTGTGCAAATGAACGAACTGATATGTTTGTTAGGGTAAAGCCCCTATGCCGACGACATGTCGTCGGTATAGGTCTAAATAAATGACGCCGTTCCTCATTTTGCTGAAACAAAAATAAATAAATAAATAAATAAAACAAGTCGTCGGTATAGCCTAAATAAAACAACGTCGTTTTCATATTCTGGACCATGAAATAAAAATAAATAAAAAATAGATTTCTCGAGTCCTATCCCGACGACTAATCGCCGGTATAGATTAGCCAGACTTGTAGCGACGACATGCTGTCAGCACAGATGTCCTGGCCAGAGGAATTTGGTCAAAGTTTACAAAGGCTATGGCGACGACAAGTCGTCGGCATAGCTTGTCTTGTAGCGACGACTTCCGTCGTCGGGATAGGTGTTGTCGCAATAGCTCCGTTTTCTTGTAGTGAAAGGAGCAACGTATTAGCGGCGACAAGAGAAAAGTAGCGGAGGGAAGATGTGGCTTTTTTTATTTTGGGGGGTTTAGCAGTGATAGGCTGATGCCGAAAATTCCAACGAACGAATCAACTGCCAACCATTGAATCCATCACGCGATTAACAGTTAGGTTTCCGTTGGAACTAAGCACTCTGATCATTGTTTAGTATCAATCGTGGTGACGCTTTTAGCAGTGACACCACCAATAACTACATCAAAAGCGTACATTAAAGTTTACAAAGGCTATCGCGACGACAAGTCGTCGGCATAGCTTGTCTTGTAGCGACGACTTCCGTCGTCGGGATAGGTGTTGTCGCAATAGCTCCGTTTTCTTGTAGTGAAAGGAGCAACGTATTAGCGGCGACAAGAGAAAAGTAGCGGAGGGAAGATGTTGCGGCTTTTTTTATTTTGGGGGGTTTAGCAGTGATAGGCTGATGCCGAAAATTCCAACGAACGAATCAACTGCCAACCATTGAATCCATCACGCGATTAACAGTTAGGTTTCCGTTGGAACTAAGCACTCTGATCATTGTTTAGTATCAATCGTGGTGACGCTTTTAGCAGTGACACCACCAATAACTACATCAAAAGCGTACATTAAATGTCGCCGCTATATGTGGTGTAGCCACTAAAGGCGTCGCCACTATTGTGGTGATTTCTTGTAGTGATATATGAACCACTAAGGTGATATGATGGATAATAGTTTCTTCAAATGTGAAGATGGATCAATCAAAAGGCTCAAATCAGGAATGATGCAACGAGAACCAATATTAGGATTTTTAAAGTAGAAGAAATGGCTAAATACAATACGATCACATGAAATTCGAAAATCACCTTAGACATGGATGTTAGAATCTGAAACGTTTGTCTCAAATGTTTGGTGAAATGGTGAAAGAATAGTTCCCTAAATAAACTTGCTGCCTTAATTTATTTAGGAATTTCCTATATATATCCTATAAATGCATTGCCTCTTTTATCATCTCTAATTTGGTGCATTAGAAGCCTCATAATAAAGAACAAAAGCAACTAGTTATATATAAGAACTTCCACTGAAATGGTTAAAACAAAACCCATTGGAAGAGCAGTATTTTCTTTATTTCTTATCCCACTGATTGCAAAGTACCAAGCAGCGGTTGTGGACGTAAAAACTAAAGGTGCCAAGGGCGATGGCAAAACCGATGATGGCCCGGTAATAGTTAAATAAATTGTTTTGTGGTGTTTTGATAAATGTTTTCTACTAACGGTAAAAATGAATCCGACGTCAATATTGTTCTGTTATATTTGTCACGGAGTTTAATTTAGGCTATTATGAGCGCTTGGAAAGAAGCATGTGGAGGATTATTAGGTGGAGGATTATTACCAGAAACGGTTTTAATTCCACCAGGGACTTATTTCGTAGCTCCTATTCAACTGAAAGGTCCATGCAAGGGCCCGATTGAGATCAAGGCCACCGGAGCAACTATCAAAGCCCCACCGGAGGTTGCAAAGTTCAAAACTGATGGTTGGATCGAGATAGAGGGTGTCGATAAGTTGACTATGACTGGTGGTAATTACGACGGCCAAGGCCAGGCAACTTGGAAAAGTAACAACTGCGCCTCTACTGGAGTATGCAAATTACCAGCTGTAAGTTGTGTTTCTTTCAAACTTTTCAATATTGGTGTAAGCATCTTATAAACTACAACATATTAATTTATGATCCTTCCAACATATTAATTTATGATCCTTCCACAGTTAAACGTAAAAGCGTGATTAATAATATTAAAATTTTGTTTTATTCTAATAGACAATTTAAAATTATTTCCAAGTTAATTATAGGTTTTAGACTTTTAGGTAATCTCTATCTCTTTCTTTTAATAAAGTTTTGCTGTAAAAAAAATGTTAAATATATATCATGTGCACATTGTAAAACTAATAAAAAGAATTGCATGATTAAAAATACTTGGAAGTTAATGGTTTTATTTATGAAAATATAACAAACCCACCGTGTAAAACTTGCATGTCAGATTTAACCGGGTTTTAAATATGTCAAGTAGAGTTTCAGTCAAATACATAAGTTGCCAAAACTTTAGGCTCATGCAATTGTTTTTATTTAGCTTTCATTTTTTTGCTTTTCATGCACTTTAAGTTCTTTTTTTATTTTTTTATTTTTACTTTTTTTATTGATTGAATTAATGAAGAAGCTTCTACCTTCTATTAATTGTTCTCTCTTCTATTTCTTCTCCCGACAAAATTCCCAACCTCAAAATCCTTTGTTTAGTTTATATATAACCCAGCCTTTCAAACACTGTTGGTATATATATAGCTTGTAGAATATGTGGCTGTTATGTATCTAATATTAGATATAAAACTATCAAAAACTACATAATTTTAACAAAATTCAATCAAATATCTCTACCATATTTCTTATATCCTCTATTAGAGCTTATGTTAGGCTTTTTATATATTTTTTATTGCGTTTTATAAGTTTAATTTTGTACCACAAACCGTGTATAAGAATATTTTACCAAGTACATGTAGTTCGTTATATTGAAATTTATTACAAAAAACTATAGTGAAAATTAAAATTGTTCATTAAAAACCCGATAAACCTCTTCCCATAATCCATCAAAAAAAAAACAACAACAACAAAGCAAGCATACGTAAGGTAGGTGTCGGAGGAAGTTATGAAGCTTCTACTAGAAGTTTAATAAAAAAACATATTCGAAATACATATATGTTAGGGATGAATTACAAAATAAAAAATAATATAAGTTCAAAAGCAGTAGGAAGAAGCTAAAAGTGAAAGACAATTGTGCTTTTTAATCAAAATGAAGTGAATTTAAATGGTTATATACCTAATATTACATACATGATAACCATATATTCACATAAGATAACAACTCCTACAATCCACATAAGATAAACCCTAAGTCTTCCTTCTAAAAAATAGAAATTTAACCAAAATGTCAACCTACGCCAAAAGACAATGGTCAAAGTCAAAGTCAACAACTCATAATGCCAACCAATGATCCTCACGTCGTGACCTAACCCTTGGTTACGTCGTGAGAGTTCACTCGACCTGATTCCAACATGACTCACTCTAACTCAGCCAACTCAGTTACAAACAATCTTTTGGGTCGACCTCACGACGTGAACATCCCTCTTGTCATGTCGCGACTACCCACTGGTCATGTCGTGACACTTGATTTTTTGCAAAAATCAACTTTTTCACTCCTTGATACCCAAAATCGATCCGTCCTGGAAAACAGGTGTTACAACTTTCCCTCACTTAAAATAGATTTCGTCCTCAAAATCATTCCTTACTACTCTCTCTACCACACATGTAGATCCTGATCGAACTTCCTAACTTCTCATTAGGACAGATAAGTCATCTCATACAGTCGATCGCCTCCCAGCGCTATCATCAATAAAACACTTACGCTGACAAAGAAGCGAACCTTGTCATACCAACCTTAATCAATCAACAGATACCACCTCTACTCATTCCGAAATCTGAAACCTGACACCATATTTGACTTCCAGACATACAGATTCATTCCAAAATAAAAATAATGACTACATTATGCAACCCGAATCGAAAAAATCAATTCACATCCTCCCATGCCACACCAAAGACGTAACAAGGATAAGAAACTCTTAGGGTAAAAGAAGTCAGGGTAAAAGACGTTAGGGTACCGATTGATTTTTTATCGTCGTTTGTTCATTATTTACCCTTAATATGATGAAATTACACAGATCTTCTTTCTTGTATAACTATAAAATGGAAAACAAGAAAAAAGAAGAGAAAGTTGAAACGACAGGCACAACCGCGTTGAGAATTAATTACTCAAAATGGTATTGCGTGTGGTATTTTACACCAATCATAATGACTATTTATGTATTTTTATTTAAATAAACTCTCTCTCTCTCTCTATCTTTCTCTCTCTTTCCCTTCCTTCCTCTCCCTCTCTCTCTCTCTCTCTCTTTTGTTTTACCCGTGGACGTAACTAATCATGTGAACCACGTTAAACAATATAATCTCGGTTTCATTATTAATCTATGTGTGAAATTGTTTATCTTTTAGTGAAATGCTTAAACCATTTTAATTTGTATTGAAGCTAATGATGCGAAAGTTGAGGTTAATGAATTTGAAGGTCGCAACTTCGGGTTTTAAAAATTTAGATCGAATATTAAATCTACCAAGAGAAGTTACACGAACCATTTGGCGACAAGAAACCCTAAACGATGAAGTAGGGGAATTGAAATATATTAGATCGACAAAGTCTTGGTGCTGTAATATTGGAATCTAGTGGATCAATAAGCTCTTTTAACCACAAAAGAATAGTAGATGAGTATTAAAGTAGAAAAGATGAAGCTAATACGGGTAAATAACATCATGTTGGAACTCGGGATGCAGAAGGAAGATGGTCTATTGTCTTGTGACAATTAGAGTGCAGTCCCACGTGACAAGCTCTTTCAGATGAGGTGTCACTTTATTTGATCACTGATAAGTGATGGGAAATTGAATCTAAAAAAGATCCTTGGTACAAAGAATCCCATAGATATCGACAGAGATTTGAAGTTGTGCATAGCTTCAACTGGCGTTCCGGGTACTTGAAGAGAATACTTAGATCTAAAGAAATTTGGTTTTTAGAGTTTAAGGTTGGGTGGCAGTAAATTAGATAAATAGCCTCCAATTGAGAGATTGTTGATGAGTTTTGGAGCCTTATTTTCTCTTTTAACTTCATAGTCGCTAAGAAAACTAAGCATGGGGTCACATTCCCAAAAGATCGGGCGGAGCTCAAGTGGGAGGTTTGAGTTTGACCTCATTGGAATAATTTAGGTCAACTTGGTCCTATTTTGCTTTTGTTTGCGCTGTTACTCTATGTGCATATGTGAAAGTATTTATCTTTTTTTGAAGTTCTAAAACATTATCAAAAGTTCGATTTCGTTCGGGAATGTGTGGAAAATGGAAAATCACCGTTGAACTTGTTCACTTGAAGGAGCAAAAGATGAACATACTCACTAATGCTTTGACAAAGGTTAATTTTAACAAAATGTGTGGGAAGCTTGGAGTGATCAAATTCGAATTGGATCTGGCTAAAAGGTTTAACCAGGAATGTAACATTTAACCAGGTTTTATATGACAAATAGAGTATTATACATAAGTTTATAAGTTTATTGGCTAGATTTTAGGTGCAAGTGACTGTTTTCTTTTATATATATATATATATATATATATATATATATATATATATATATATATATATATATATATATATATATATATATATATATATATATATATATATATTTCTGGTTTTTTGTTTTTCATGAACCATTCTTTCTTTCTTTTTTCATTAATTGAAGAAACTCTTCCTTGTATTGTTCTCTGTTATGTTTCTTCTCCCAATAAAAATTCCACCCTAGAAAATACGACCTTGGTTAATTAATTACATATTCCTGCCTTTCAAACACTTTTGATATACATAGACATATTACAATTAATTTAATTAATCCAACAAAACTAATAAAAAGAACTGCATGCTTATAGATGTAAAGATGATAATATGGTGATCGAAAGAAAATCAACATATAAAGCCCCAACGATTACATAGGAGTTCCTTTGTTTTTCATGTAGAGTTTAATCAATTTCTTCGTATTTTTACTTGTGAGAATGTAATAGCAATTTATCAGGACATATTTATTCATAAGAATTTTCTAAGTTACAACGTAGACAATAGTCATTAATATCCAAGTTATAGGTGAAGAAAAACACAAAAGAAATAGGGTGGAATGAAACAGAGCAAGCACGAAATAGGGGAAAAAAGAAATTTTAAGAGATTTCCTTTGGCTTCACCTTTCATTTTATTTAAAGCTAAATCGGAATGAGAAAACATTAAACATCTATTCTATAAATACTAAACGGAATGGTATCCTTTTTTTATACAAAATATTATTTAAATGGAAAAATTCCTATTTTACTCGTGGAACTTAAATGTCCGAGTTCTTCTGGATTAGTCTAACATATTACCCCTAATACATAATCCTGCATCATCTTCGCTCCTAACGACTTTCTCATTTCTTCAAAACTTGATTCCACTCATTGACTTTGTCAAAATATCAGGTCAATGATCATTGGTTCTCACGTGCTTAACAAAAACTTCTCATATTTTCAACACATTCACCTATGAAAAGATACTTTAGGTCAATATGCTTCATTCTTCCATGGAATACATGTTTTCCATCAGATCTGAAGCTGATTTATCTACATGTAGATTAGCATGGCTTATCCTTTTATATTTTAATTCACACAACAAATATCTTGACACGTTACGTTTGTTGTAGCCATGAACTCTTCCCCATACAAAGAAAGAGCTACACTTTTCTGTTTGTGTGAAGCCCATGTAACCAAGTTTTATTTAGGTAGAATTCAACTCCAGTTCTACTTCGTCTATAAGTTATGTCTCTTGAAAGATCATTATATATGTACTCAATTATGATGTGTTCTTCACACCGTTGATATAAACTAACCCATAATCCACTGTACCTTTAATATACCTTAGTATGTGCTTTACCACCAGCATGTGCCTGATAGTAGGATGCTTCATATATCGACTCATCATCCGTAAAACGTATGACAT